AATACATAATTGTCGCTCTCAGAAAAACTGGAGTACCTACATATTTTCCCAATCTTTTCTCCGCGCTCTACCTTCTCCGACTCTACCATTGTCCTCGCTGTGCTCTTCTGGAGTCGAAATACGAAATTGATGATGCTCATTGCTCAACTGTTTTCCTTTAGATTTTCTTTTATTGTTGTGTTTCTCTCCATTCTTACACTCCTCTTTGCAGAGGACTATAATTACCTCTATCATTTCTGTTATAATTCATCTAGTCTCGCCGGTAACAGCACCTACAAAGACAACCTCAATCACCTCCTCTCTTCTCTCTCTAACGCATCCAACAGTACCAGTGATGATGGGTTCTACAACATCACCTCTGGACGAGAACCCAACACCGTGTATGGCCTCTTTCTCTGTCGCGGTGATGTTATAACCGAAATTTGCCAGAAGTGTATTGCCTCCGCCGCTATCGATGTAGCTCAGCGTTGCCCCACTGGGTATGAGGCTGTAATTTGGTATGGGCAGTGCATGGTCCGTTATTCTAACCGGTCGATCTTCTCTATCATGACCACTGACCCAAATCAAGATTTGGTGATTAATCGGGATGTTCTAGGACCGGACCGGTTTAACCAGCTTTTGGCAGGGGCGGTGAAAGATATAGCAAATCGGGCTGCGAATGCTCCGGCGGGGGCTAAGAAGTTTGCGACCAAAGAAGTGAAATTTAACGAGTTTCAGGACGTGTATAGCCTCGCACAGTGTACGCCCGATATATCCGGCGACGAATGCAACAGATGCCTTCAGTTTGCGATCGGAGGCTTACCGGAATGTTGCAGCGGGAAAGAGGCAGGATTTGCGTTGTACCCAAGTTGTATTCTTAGATATCAAATTACCCCCTTTTATAACCAAACCGAAGCTGCAGAACCGCCGTCCGTGTCGCCTACTCGACCACCAGTAAATCCTCCATCTCCAGGTCAGGTTATTAAAAAAAAAAAAAAAAGGAAGCTGAATTCAAAAGGGAAAATTTTGTTGAGTAGACTGTAGACTGTAGAGAATTGATTAACAAATTAATTAGTTGATAACTCTGTAGGGATTTTGGGTTTTAAATGTGAAAATTGGACTTTCTTCTTTGCATAGGGAAAAGGCAGATTTCATCCGGTACCATTATTAGCATTATTGTTTCAGCAGTTGGATCCTTGGTGATTTTCTCCATTGGCTTGTACTGGATACTAATCTGGAAAGCAAGGAAGAAGAAAACTAGACAGCCAAAGAAAGATAATGGTATATGGTGAAATGGGTTTATTCTATATATGCTCATTCATTATTTTACTTGCTCTTGTTGGTTTAGCTCAATTCCTATTGTGATTGTAGCATTGTTTTGGTGTGATTTTCAGTTGGAAGCAAAACTGGGGACCAGTCATTACAGTTTGATTTTTGTATAATTGAAGATGCCACAAACAACTTTGCAGATGCTAACATGATTGGTGCTGGTGGATTTGGCAGAGTGTATGAGGTGAGGATTGTTTGCGACTTTGTTGTTCATTTCAACAATTATTAATTGGTTCTAGATTTTAAAAATCTCAAGCTGATTACTGAACTGAAACTCATGGAGATGGACTGTTTAAGAATGATTATGGTGCTTTTAATTAGGGGGTACTTGCTAGTGGACAAGAAATAGCTGTGAAGAGGCTATCAAGAAGCTCTGGACAAGGTGGGGAGGAATTTAAGAATGAGGTTGTACTGTTAGCCAAGCTTCAGCACCGGAATCTGGTTAGGCTGTTAGGATTTTGCACAGAACGAAAAGAGAGAATGCTAATTTATGAACTTGTTCCCAACAAAAGCCTTGACTACTTCATATTTGGTCAGATCCTTCTTAACATATATCTGTATTAAACTTTCTTTTCTACTATAGAAATGCATTTTAACTTGTCAATCCAGTCCCTAAGCTGCAATATAATGTGTACAGATCCTCAGAAAAGAGCAGAACTGGATTGGCCAAGACGTCACAAGATAATTAAAGGGATTGCTCGGGGCCTCCTATATCTTCATACTGACTCACGGCTAAAGATCATACATCGTGATCTAAAAGCCAGCAATATCTTGTTGGACAAGGATATGACACCCAAAATTTCAGATTTTGGCATGGCAAGAATTATTGAAGAAAATCGAACTCAAGAACCTACAAAGAGAATTGTTGGTACATAGTAAGTTCCCCATCCCCAAATCTTTCTGCTCTTGTTTGGTTAATACTAACCAGGAACTCCTTTTCATCAAAATGTTATAATTCCATATTACAGTGGCTACATCTCTCCAGAGTTTGCAATGCATGGGAAGTTCTCTGAGAAATCAGATGTGTTTAGCTTTGGTGTGTTGATGCTAGAAATTGTATGCGGCAAAAGGAATACAAGCATCTCTAACCCAATTTATGCTGAAAACCTTCTAACCTATGTAAGTAAATGCCAAAAAAAAAAAAAAAAAA